ACTATTATTACTACCACTACTACGACGACTACTACTACTACTACTACTACTACTACTACTACTACTACTACAACGACTACTACTACTACTACTACGACGACTACTATTATTTGAACTAGTACTACTACGACTACCACTACTACTACTAGTGGTACGAGCGTTACTACTAAGACTACGTCTCCTACTGATACTCTTTCTACTTCTAAAAGGAGGACGATGGCAAAGAGGAGGAGGGTGCGGAGTATCTTCAGTAGTAGTCGTGCTCGTCGTAGTCGTAGTCGTAGTAGTAGTAGTAGTAGTAGTAGTAGTAGTCGTCGTAGTCGTAGTCGTAGTCGTAGTCGTAGTCGTAGTAGTCGTAGTAGTAGTAGTAGTAGTAGTAGTCGTAGTTAGTAGTAGTAGTAGTAGTAGTAGCAGTAGTAGTAGTAGTAGTAGTAGTAGTAGTAGTCGTAATAGTAGTAGTAGTAGTAGTAGTAGTAGTAGTAGTAGTAGTAGTAGTAGTAGTGGTCGTAGTAGTAGTAGTAGTAGAAGTAGTAGTAGTAGTAGTAGTAGTAGTAGTAGTAGCAGTAGTAGTAGTAGTAGTGGTCGTAGTAGTAGTAGTAGTAGTAGTAGTAGTAGTAGTAGTAGTAGTAGTAGTAGTAGGGTTGTCCGGGCTTCTTGTTCCGCCTGAAGATGGTGTAAAGGGTGTAAGGGTTCGGGCTCGGGTTCGGGAACGCGCGCGAAAAAACACAAACATATCAACGATGTATACATCATATATTGACAACGATACTCAGGCGAATTGCTCCCCATTAGCATTGCACTTGACGCGGAGCGTTTCCCAGCCGCAAGAGCATTCCTTCAGATTCCGAATTGCTCCCCGGTTGGATCCCACTAGACCTGGGCCACGAATCGTGTGAGGGGTGTGCCGGACTCCACGAGAATCCTGAGGGAATTTAGAGCCCCCCGGAAAGCTCGGGGAACCCTCCAGAACCCAGAGGACTCTGAAGGATCCCAGATGACGATCAGACGAACCCGAAGGAACGCAAAGGAATCCAGAGGCATCTTGAATAATGCAAAAGAATTTCCATCAACCACAGAGAGCCGGGGAAATCTGGGGCCGTGAGCCCCGAGCCCTGAGCCCTGCGCCTTGGGCCCTGGATCCTGAGCCTTCGGCCCTGTACCCTCTGGCCTGAGCCCTGTGCCCTGTGCCCCGTGCTCTGTGCCTTGCGCCCCGAATTCCTGAGCCCGGAGCCGTGATCCCTGAGCCCTGGACCCTAAGCCCTGGGCCCTGAGCCCTGCGCCCTGAGCCCTGAGACCTGTGCCCTGAGCCCTGTGCCCCGTGCCCTGTGCCATGCGCCCTGAGGCCAGACTTGAGCCGTGTGCCCTGGGCCCTGAGTTCTGAACCCTTAGCCCTGAACTCTGAGCCATAAGCTTTTGGCCCTCGGCTCTGTGCCCTGGGCCCTGAGCCTCGAACCATGGGCCCTAGGCCCTAGGCTAAAGGTCGTAAGCCCTAGGCCCTAGGCTAAAGGTCAGGCCCACAGGGAACATTTCGGCAGATTTGCCCCGGCGCGCGTGCACCGGGCGTGTCCCAGACGGGCTTTTCGCTCGAGACATCCTCGTAAATTATCCCGGCAAAGCAACCTAACAGCGATGTGTAGGAGCATATCTGGAAGCATTCCCCTTAAGATTCATATGAGAATCCAGTTGTAGAATTCTGCTGTTCTCGCAATCGTAGTCGCAGTGGCAACGGCAGTCGCAGACGATGACAGTCGCAGTGGCAACGGCAGTCGCAGTCACAGCCTCAGCCTCAGCCTGCCTCAGCCTCAGCCTCAGCCTGCCTCAGCCTCAGCCTGCCTCAGCCTCAGCCTCAGCCTGCTTCAGCCTCAGCCTCAATATGCCTTCAGCCTCGGCCTCAGCCTCAGCCTGCCTCAGCCTCACCCTGCATGAGCCTCAGCCTCAGCCTCAGCTTGCCTCAGCATCAGCCTGCCTCGGCCTCAGCCTCCGCCTGCCTCAGCCTCAGCCTTAGCCTGCTTCAGCCTCAGCCTCAATATGCCTTCAGCCTCGGCCTCAGCCTCAGCCTGCCTCAGCCTCACCCTGCATCAGCCTCTCAGCCTCAGCCTCAGCCTCAGCTTGCCTCAGCATCAGCCTGCATCAGCCTCAGCCTCCGCCTGCCTCAGCCTCAGCCTTAGCCTGCTTCAGCCTCAGCCACAGTCTGCCGTCGGCCTCAGCCTCAGCCTGCCTCAGCTTCAGCCTCAGCCTGCCTCAGCCTCAGCCTGCCTCAGCCTCAGCCTCAGCCTGCCTCGGCCTCAGCCTCAGCCTCAGCCTCAGCCTGCCTCAGCCTCAGCCTACTTCAGCCTCAGCCTCAGTCTGCCTGCAGCCTCAGCCTCAGCCTCAGCCTGCCTCAGCCTGAGCCTGCCTCAGCCTCATCCTCAGCCTCAGCCTGCCTCAGCATCAGTCTGCCTCAGCCTCAGCCTCAGCCTGCCTCAGCCTCAGCCTCAGCCTGCTTCAGCCTCAGCCTCAGTCTGCCTTCAGCCTCGGCCTCAGCCTCAGCCTGCCTCAGCCTCAGCCTGCATCAGCCTCAGCCTCAGCCTCAGCCTGCCTCAACATCAGCCTGCCTCAGCCTCAGCCTCAGCCTGCCTCAGCCTCAGCCTCAGCCTGCTTCAGCCTCAGCCTCAGTCTGCCTTCAGCCTCGGCCTCAGCCTCAGCCTGCCTCAGCCTCAGCCTGCATCAGCCTCAGCCTCAGCCTCAGCCTGCCTCAGCATCAGCCTGCCTCAGCCTCAGCCTCAGCCTGCCTCAGCCTCAGCCTCAGCCTGCTTCAGCCTCAGCCTCAGCCTCAGCCTGCAGCCTCAGCCTCAGCCTCAGCCTGCCTCAGCCTCAGCCTGCCTCAGCCTGCCTCAGCCTCAGCCTCAGCCTCAGCCTCAGCCTCAGCCTCAGCCTGCCTCAGCCTGCAGCTCAGCCTGCCTCAGCCTCAGCCTGCCTCAGCCTCAGCCAGCCTCAGCAGCCTCGGCCTCAGCCTCAGCCTGCCTCAGCCTCAGCCTGCATCAGCCTCAGCCTCAGCCTCAGCCTCAGCCTCAGCATCAGCCTGCCTCAGCCTCAGCCTCAGCCTGCCTCAGCCTCAGCCTCAGCCTGCTTCAAGCCTCAGCCTCAGCCTGCCTTCAGCCTCGGCCTCAGCCTCAGCCTGCTTCAGCCTCAGCCTGCCTCAGTCTCAGCATCAGCCTGCCTCAGCATTCAACATGTGGCTCGGGAATGGAGTTCTGGGAACTCGAAGAACACGAAGTGGCCTACAGTTGGCTCCGGGCATTCAAAATCATGCCCAGGAATGGAGTTCTTGGAACTCTAAGAGCACGAAGTGGCCTAGTGCTGGCTCCGGGCATTCAAAATCATGCCCATGTGCAGGAATGGAGGTCTGGGAACTCGAAGACCACGAAGTGGCCTACAGTTGGCTCCGGGCATTCAAAATCATGCCCAGGAATGGAGTTCTGGGAACTCGAAGAACACGAAGTGGCCTACAGTTGGCTCCGGGTATTAAATCATGCCCAGGAGTGGAGTTCTGGGAACTCGAAGACCACGAAGTGTGTTACTGCTGGCTAAAAAAAGTCCCCGGCATCCTCCCCCGGATCGCGCCCAGACCCCCCGGGGCGTCATGATGCTCAGTCTCTGCTGTTAGGTAAAATCGACCCCTGGCGCGCGAAACTGTCAGGCCCGACCGCGCCCCCAGGAACCAGTTCCGGGGATCTGCCGGCGGGCGCCGGGGCGCGCGGGGACGCACGGTGTGTGCTCCAGTCCGGGTTCTCGCTCGAGATATCCTCGCAAGAGTCAACTTGGGCGTGTCCCAATCTGGGGCTCCCGCTCGAGACACCCTCGGAAAGCTGCCAAGTCACCCCCCGAGGGAGGCCCCAAAGAAAGACGACAAGGATGAGCAGAGCGAATGACGTAGGAAAACGGAGGAGGGGAGGAAAAATGAGGAGGAAGCGGAGGAAAAGGAGGGGGAGGATACAGGAGGAAGAGGAGGAGCAGGAGGAGGATAATGATAACGAGGAGCATGATGATGATGATGGTGATGATGATGATGATGATGATGATGATGATGATGATGATGATGATGATGATGATGATGATGAGGAGGAGGAGGAGGAGGAGGAGGAGGAGGAGGATAATGATGATGATGAGGAGGAGGAGGAGGAGGAGGAGGAAGCGGAGGAGGAGGAAGAGGACGAGGAGGAGGAGGAAGTGAAGGAGAGTTGGAAGAGGTGGAGGAGGCGGAGGGGGGAGAGGAATAGGCGGAGGAGGAAGAGGAGGAGGAGGAGGAGAGTTCGACGAGGTGGTGAGGATAAGGAGGGCGAGCCTCGCCCTCCTGAACCACCGCCTCCCGCGCATTGTCATCTCGGCCACAAGCACAGGCCCCTTTCTTCATGCAGAAACTCCCGATCAACCGCAGAGCGGCCAGCTAATAATCGTAGAAATGTGTTCGTAAACATGCATACGAAGAGAGATGGAGAGGGTGAGCGGACATGACCGAAGAAGGGAGACATATTGTAGTCAGGGGATGGGCGTGGGGGATATCATTAGATACGTGCATCTGTAGACTTTAAAAGTATTCGTATTTGGAGAAAGAGAGAGAGAGAGAGAGAGAGAGAGAGAGAGAGAGAGAGAGAGAGAGAGAGAGTGGTGGAGATAGAGAGACCGAGAGAGATCTAGAGAGATATACCTGTAACTATTTGCATAGAAGAGGGAGAAATGTTAGAGAGAGGGTGCCATTTTAAAAACAAGATTAGGAGCTCTATGCATTGATAACCAAATCTACCCATACACACCTACGCATGTACACGCCGTGAAGGGATCTTATACAGACAGTCGCAGGGAGAGAGGGGGAGAGAGTGGCGTGATGACGAGTTGACGGGAGAGGTTGCCAGGGGAGGACAAAACACAGAGCAAGCGAGAGAGAGAGAGAGAGATAATGTTTTGAAGTGAAGACATCCGCGCGAACGACGGGCACGGCACCGGGAGCCGGCGGCCGCCAGGACTTCTTCGAGGTCTTCGGCCCGGTGTTCAAGAGGACCCGCTCGGCCGGACGGTCCCCCGGGCAGGGCGGGCGGGAGGAGCAGGGGGGATCGGCTGCGCGCAGGGAGTGACCTCTCGCCAGAACTAGGGGGCCCCAAACATATACACCACCACGACCACTTTCCCCCCCTCCCTCCCTCTCACTGGGAGGAGGAACGAGGAGGGATCGGCGTGGTGGTGGTGTCTATGCTCTGGGCCCCCCAGGAGTGGCGGCCCGGTGCGGGCACGCCACGGGCCCCCCGGATGGCGGGTGCGACCTCAGCGGCTTCCGCGCTCGGGTTTTGGCGCCCCCGCGCCCACGTGGAGTCGCGCACCAAAGTCGGGCCGAACGAAAGGGGGGGGATTGGGGAAGGGGGGGGTTGCGAAATTTGCTGCATGCAGCTGGTTTCTGCCCCGCCGAGGGGACCATTCCTCGACACACGGCCGCCTCCGGCGCCGGGAGGCGCCGGCAAAATCAGCTACGTGAGCTGATTCTCAAACTCCCCTTTGCTATCCCCCCCTTGCGCCCGACCCGACAAAGGTGAGCCTGTGCCTGGGGTCACCCGCGTGCTGCCGAGAGGGGACAGCGGAAAGGCGAGGGAGGCTCTAGGGTGAAGTCGGACCTTTCCCTCTTCAGGATAATATTTCAAAGACAGTAGAGGAGTAGTGTGTGGGGGGACGATGTTCGTTGATTAGTGCTGTCATGCCTGCGCGTTGTCTGACTACTTTTTCTTCCTTCGAAATCCGCCTGTAGCAGGACGTGCCCGACCTAAATCTAGGGCCCATGCGTTTGTGCGTCTTGGGCATCCCTCGTATCTGAAGGGGGCTGAAGGGGACTCTGGTCGAAGGGCACTCTTGGACGGGTCGTCAGGTCTGAGAATGTGGAGGCCGATGTTCGATGGAAGAGGAGTGATATAATGGAGGAGGGCGAGGGATGATGAGAAGGAGGAGGAGGAGGAGGAGGAGGAGGGAGATGACAAGGGAGGAGGAACAGCTGAAGCAGGACCAGGGTTCAAGATTCGAAAAGCTAACGTTCAGAATAAACTTGTTTAAGCCGTCGCGGCTACGGTATCCGAAGGCTCAGGATGGGGGGGGCCTTAAACAGTCACCCCTCCTCAAGCAACGCACTCGCGATTCGCAGAAGGAAGATGCCAAGGACTCGGACGAGGCAAGAATTCGCTTGCTCTATCTGGATCATTTGATCTGCGCATTGGATCAACCGCTGAGGCACGGGTTCGACTGAATAGCCCCTGATGCCTTCCCCTGCACCTCATTCTCATGCTGCCTCCTCTAGGCTCGTCCCCCCCCCGGCTCCATCGCATTCTCGCGCTCCTACTCCCTCATGGTGCCTCATGGTGCCTCCTGCTCCTTTCTGCTCTTCCTGCTGCTGCTGCTGCTCCTGCTGCTGCTTCTATCACGGCGACCATTGGCCGTCTCCTCGTGCCGCTCAGTGCCCTCAGAGGGTCGCGCGGGAACCCCGGCACCCCTGGCCGCAGCTGGGAAATCCGAGGGCAGGAGGACGAGCAGCATGAGCAAGGGGAGCAGGATTGGGAGGCGGAAGGGGCGGAGGAAGAGGAGAACGATGAGCAGCTGGAGATGGGGGTCCTGAAAAGTGGAGTAGGCGGAGGGGGGAAGGAGGAGGAAAAGGAGGAGGAGGAGGAGGAGGAGGAGGAGGGATAATAAGAAACATAATAATAAGAGGAGGAGGAGGAGGAGGAGGAGGAGGAGGAGGAGGAGGAGGAGGAGGAGGGGAGGGAGGGAGGAGGAGGAGGAGGAGAGGAGGAGGAGGAGGAGGGAGGGAGGAGGAGGAGGGAGGAGGAGGAGGAGGAGGAGGAGGAGGAGGAGAGAGGGAGGAGGAGGAGGAGGAGGAGGAGGAGGAGAGAGGGAGGAGGAGGAGAGAGGAGGAGGAGGAGGAGGAGGAGGAGGAGAGGAGGGAGGAGGAGGAGGGAGGAGGGAGTGGAGGAGGAGGAGGAGAGGAGAGGAGGAGGAGGAGGAGGAGGGAGGAGGAGGAGGAGGAGGAGGAGGAGGAGGAGGAGGAGGAGGAGGAGGAAGGGGAGGAGGAGGAGGAGGAGGAGGAGGAGGAGGAGGAGGAGGAGGAGGAGGAGGAGGAGGAGGAGAAGGAGGAGGAGGAGGTGGGGGGAGAGGATCTGAAGCACCAGCTTTAGCGGAAGGTGGGGCAGGAGGAGGAGGAGGAGGAGCAGGAGGAGGAGGAGGAGGAGGAGGAGGAGGGGCAGGTGCAGAGACTGCAGGTGGGTGAGGTGATTGGTCTTTGGCTTCCCGTGTTTTCCGCCATGGCCGCCATAGGGCACCTCGATCGTGTTGAAGGCCGGTCCGAGGTCGAGAACGCCGGAAGATCTGTTGACCACTCCGTGGAGCCGAGGAAACTTGAGGATTTCTGTGGAGCCATCTTGAAGCAATCATAGTAGGTTTCATTTGGGTTGTCCTGGAGGGCTTTCTGGGCCTAGATTGGCCATCTCGGGCGGCGCCAGAAGCCAGCTTAGGCCAGGTCGTACCACCTTGGAGCCCTCTCCTTCTCATGTCCTCTCCTGGTCCTCCTCCTCCTCCTCCTCCTTGTCCTCCTCTGCCTCTCATCCTTTGACCTGTCTGACAGGACCTGTCGTTTAAATCTGGCGGGGATGCCGGACCCAACGATTATACGGAATGTTGTCGCGCGATTCGATCAATCGTGTGGTCGCCAGGGCGTCCGCTCCCCACCTCCTGCTCCCCGTATATCTGTGTAAGTGTATAAGTATATAAGTATATATGCTTACATGAGCAAGCTTGTGGCTCCAATTATTTGTGTATATACATATATATATACAGATATGCGTATGGACATCTGCAGATGGAAAATTTGGCTGGCGAGTTTTGACACAGCCCGGGATGCAAATACAGAGCAGAAGGCACTTGCTCTTTAGCTGTGATGCTCCTCTGCACGGCGACGAGGAGGTTGTGAAGTTGGCTTTCAAATCATTGTCTCGGGTGCACGCCTTTCGGCAGGCATGCTTGTCTAATGCATGTTGGCTTGCCGATCGCACCGTCGATGGGTCCGCATCCTTACACCCGCTTCGGCGACGACGCCATCCGCACCCCTGCTCTGCGCCGAGGGTCGCTACGACGACGCTCACGACAGCGACGACGAAGTCCACGACGGCGACGTCCACCACGACGGCGCCCGCCCGACGACGAGCTCGTTGTCGACGACGACGACGACGACGGAGACGACGACGCCCTCTGCGCCGCTGCCGCGCCGCCAGGGAGGCCCCCGACGGGCCCGCCGAGGGGGGGGCTTCACCCGGCGGCCGCCGCAGGCAGGCCGGGACCCGCGGCGGCGGAGGCGACGTCGTCGCCTGCCGCCGATGTCTGCACCGACGACGGCGACGGCGTCGACGGCACCATCCTCCTCCTACTCAGCGTCGACATCGACGACGTCGGCGGCGGTGTCGCCGGCGGCGGCAGCGGCGCAGACGCCGACGCCGCCCACGACGCCCACCGACGGCGACGCCGCCGGCGGCGGGGACGGCGCGCCGACGGCGGCGCCGCCGCGGGCCGGCGGCGCAGGAACGCCAGGTGGAGCGAGCACAAGCCGGTGCCGGACCTCGGGGGCCCGGAGACGCCGCACACCGAGGCGGCGTCGCCCGGGGGTGCGGTCTTGGTCGCGCCATGAGGAGAGTGGGCGCGGGAGCGACAGGGGGAGGAGGGGCGTTGGGATAAAATCCACTCGGCTCGTAGTCCATCACTGTTTTCGTCGTCCTGTGGCGGCGCGCAAGAGGGGGTATGGGGGAGGGGGGAAGGCTTCTTAGAAGCACCCTGCTTCTTAGAAGGCCTCGGCCTTACGTCTATAGAGAAGGCCCGCGCCTTCTAAGAAGCAGGGGTGCTTCTAAGAAGCCTTCCCCCCCCCCTACCCCCCTCTGCGCCTCTGCGCGCCGCCAAGTCCCCTGTCATGTTCCTCGTAGCTCGTCGTCCTCCTTGTTCGTCATCCATCGTTTCGTTTTCCTCGTCTCGCCCACGCGCACATCTTCGCATTGTCGCCCCTTTCTCTTCCCTCTCATCACCTGCCTCCTCCAATAAAGAGGGGGATGGTTGGCGAAGAGGGGGATGAGAAAAGAGCACGCGAGGAACGACGACGGAGCTGACGAAGAATGCGATGATGAATGAAGCGTAGGCCGGAGAGGTAAGGGATGATGAAAATGACCATCCTCCTCCTGATGAGGATAGCGATGACGATGGCTATATTGCTGATGATGGCGATGCTGCCGATGATGATGCTGTTGGAAGGGCCTTCTTGAGACCCCTGAGGGGGCCTCATGACATTTTCTATTCCCACTAAACATTTCAGGGCCTATAGGTAAGCACGTAGCTAAGTACTTAGAATCGTCTGCAAAGTATTCAGCTAATCAAGCTGACTACTTAGCTACATACTTATACGTGCCGAGCTAAGTACTTAGCTAAGTCACTTGCTAAGCCACCTGCTAAGCACTTAGTAAGTACTTCTAAGTGCCGAGTTAAGTACTTAGCAAAGTAAGCTATGTACTTCGCTAAGTACTTAGTGAGTATTTCCCAGTGCCAAGCCAAGTACTCAGCTAAGCCTTTTGACAAGTCACTTGTAAGTGATTCAGCTAGGTACTTAGCAAGTCTCTTCCAAGTCGGCGAAATACTTTCGAAGTCGGCTAAGTACTGACAAGTGCACTGGCCCTCCCAAGTAGCAGGACATGCCCGACCTAAGCCTACCGGTGCACAGGTCGTCCTCCGACGTCTGGCCAGGCGCGGGCCGGAGGCAGAACACGAGTGCGCGGAGGGCCCTTTCGAGAGGCCTGCCCCTCTGCGCCGTCCGCCACCTGCTTGAGAGGAGGAGCGACAAGCCCACTCTGGTGCCCCTGGGAGGTCCAGGGAGTAGCAGTAACGGCATCGGTGTCTTTTGGTTCCCCCGCATGCCGCTTCTGCTTCCACTGCCACCGCGCCGGAGGTGGTCGCGTTCTACGACTGGTGGCGGGAGTTCGAGTCTTTCCAGACCTCTCTTGCGCAGCCTTATCCTGCAGAGTGGTGGGGGCGACGAGGGAGATGGGCAAGGAGGAGTTGTTGGGGTTGTCTCGTGTTCGCTGGCTCGCTACCGAGCCCAGAAGTTTCAGGGATGGCCCAGGAGTCCGAAAGTGGAGGGATCCAAGTCCGCCGGATCCCCTTCCTGAAACCTGAGGCCCCTGCCGCAGGGTGGCGTGCATGCGCCACACACGCACACACACACACACGCACACACGCACACACGCACGCACGCACGCACGCACGCACGCACGCACGCACGCGCGCGCGCGCACGCACGCATTCACGCACGCACGCAAGCACGCACGCACGCACGCACGCACGCACGCACACACACACACACACAGACACACGCACGCACGCACGCACGCACATTTGCACGCACGCTCACACACACACACTGACGCACTGACACACACACACACACTGACACACACTGACACACATTGACACACACACGCACTTTCACACACACACTCACACACACACACATATATATATATATATATATGTATACACACATAGTTTTCACGTCGGCGGCTAGGCAGAGGGACTGCGCTGGTGGATAGGGCGTTGGTAGTACAAAAGAACGCGAATTAGGCCGCGGTGCAGGAGGGGGGTCAGGAGGAGACGCCCGGCGGTGGCCGGAGGGAGACGGAGGCTGGGCCCGCTCAGAGCCAGGCCAGGCGCGCGGCGGGACGGCGCTGGGGGTAGGGTCCAGCAGCAGTGGGGGGGCAGCTGGGGGTGGGGAAGCTGGCATGGCAGGCTGCCGGGCAGCAGGCCGTGCTGGGGGGGCAGTGCCCAGCAAAGGCTGGAGGCGAAGGTGTGCACGCAGCGCCAAGGGCCAGCGGGTGCCGAGGTCACGTGAGCCCCCCGTGAGCATCCGGGCCGGCGGCGACCAGTACGAGACCGCCTCGAGGTCAGGGGACGGCCTGAAAACCAGGCAAGGCAAAGAGGCGTGCCAGGCGGGGCGCAGGCGGCAGAACCATCACAGGCCCCAGGGCGAGGCGGGGGCGTGGCGGGGGGGCCAAAGTCGGTCTCGGTGTGCCCGGCGTTTCTTTCCAGCCTCCGGGCCTGACACGCGCCCGCCCCCTGGCAACGCGCAGGTGGCCGGGAGCGACAGTCGCAGGCTTGTTTTCCCCTCGGTCTGGGTCAGGGCTTGCAGCTCGCAGGCCAGAGGGAGTTTCAGGCACCCTCGCAGAAGGGAGGCGTCCACAGCCGTTTTCCTTCAGAGAGGCCGTCTTCGGAGCCTCTGGGAGCAGTCTTCGAGGCTTCGTGGGCTCTTCTGCCTGCGCAGTGGCGGCCCATGCGGTTCCTGTGGCAAGCTGGAGGGACCATTCCTCCGTCAGCGGGCGCAGGATCACTGGAGGAGGTTTGGCGAAGCAGAGGAAGGCGGTCCCGACGCTGAGCGAGGACCGCGAGGGAGGCGCCGAGCCTGTGCCCGTAAAGCAGAGGAGCCATCGCGCCGAGGGAGCCGAGGTCACACGTGACCTACGAGGCGACTCCGGGCGGCGGCCAACGCAGACCACCTGAAGACGGGGGATTGGCCTGTAGCCAGGCAAGGCCGAGAGAGGCGGATAGGGGGGTGCACCGGCGCCACGGCCAACGAGGCCCCAAAGCAGGCGAAGACGGCGGAGGGCCGCAGAGGCCGGCGCAGCAGCCCGTGGGGGGGGGGGGCACCGAACAGGTGCGCGTCGAGGCAAAGGAGCCCATCAGCGAGGGGGGTCTAAGGAGGGCACGCCAGAGCGGCCCAGAATCCGGTGTGGCCTGGCTAGGGCGCGCCCCGAAAGACGACGCCCAGCGACCCCGAGCGAGGGCGGCGGAGCGTGGGTCAGAGGGGAACCAGGCGACGGCGCCCCAGCCAAAAGGTCGGCGTGGCCCGCGGCACCCAGGGTGGGTAGCGACGGGGCGGAGGGGAAGGAGAGCGCACCCACCAGCAGGAGGAGGGTGGTGCCGGCGAGCGACGCCCGTGGCGGAGGGGGCGGGGCGAGGGCGGCAAGACCAGCCCAGTGCCCGATGCCCCGATCGGCCGGCGTGCTGGCTGGCGGGCCGGCTGGAAGCAGGCTGCAGCGAAGTCGTGCAGCCGCGGGAGGCGTCACGGGTGCCCCCGCCGCATCCGCGGACGGGGCGGGGAAGGTTATATAGGGGTAGGCCGCTGGCTCCAGCCGCGGTCCCGGGCCAGGGCGCCGCGAGGCCGAGGACGTGACGCAGGGGCGGGCCAAGCAGGGCGGACAAGCAGCGGCCAGGCGCGAGCAGGGCCGCGGCGTGGTGGACCTCTCGGCGCCGGCCTGTGTCGGGCGCGGCGGTCGGACGGGGGGGGCCCTCGGGCGGGGCGACGGGTCGGGCGCCTCGAACTGGTGCACTCTGAAGTGCGGAGAGCGGCCCCGCCGCGCGGGTGGCGGGCCCGGAGGGGGGGGGGGGGCGCGTGAACGCGGGGAGAAGCAGCTCCACCAGGATCAAGGCTTCTGAGGCTTATGCTGCAGGGTGGTGGTGGGGGGGGGACCAGCCAGCGCCGAGGGACGCGGCTGGGAACGGGACAGACCGTTTTGCCGAGCAGCGAGGGGAGAGCCCCGGGCACCGCTGCCTGGAGTGGTCATTGCTGGGCCAGGCGGAGACGGCGCGCCTCTTGCCTTTTCCGTGTGGCACGGGGCCTTTTCCCTTCCCCTTGCCAAGCCCGGCGGCGCGGTCCCTCATTTGTATCTCTTTGTTCCAGGCGCGCTGCCGCTTAATCTGGGTGCCCATCGTCCATCAGAGGTTGCGGACGTCGAAGTCGGCCTCGATGAGCTGGCCTGCGAAGTTCTCGCAGGCCTGTTCCCCCTGGACAGCTGACAGCTGTGTCGTGGGTGGATCCCTGGCGCCCTGCCTGGTGGTTGCAGACGACGTTCCAGCCGATGACTAGCATGGGGCCGCATTCCCGCTTGAGGCGATTGGCAACCTCGGGCCAGGACTCCATCCTTCTGCCGCTTTAGTTTCTGACTGGGTTTCGATTCATAGCCTGTCGCGGCTTGTTATACAGCGAGTCGTTGGGGTTGCCGTGGGGGGTATAGCGACCCGGTAGGTGGGCCGTTCGGTGGGAGCGGTCAGGTAAGTGCGCGCGGCGGTCGCTTCCTCGGGAATCACCGGCCTCCGCGTGTCTCGGCGTCGGAGGGGGGGGGCGTCCGCTGGGTCTTGCGGGCATGCTCGTCGGGGGCCTCGGCAGGCCTGGGCCCGCCGTCGGACTGCTCTGCCTGCAGCGCCTGTCCCCCTGCTCGTCTGCTGCCCAGACGCTCCACGTCTGCACGGGGGGCCGCGGGGGCTGGGCGGTGCTTGTCCCCCCCCCCCCCCTTGGTGCGCTGGGCTTGCAGGCGTAGGTGGGTCGGGGCACGGGCCCCGGTCGGGGGCGTCGCTGCGTGGCGGAGTGGGGGGGGCCGGGGAGGTGTCGGGAGACACGTCCACGGCGGCGCGTCTGGGGGGCCCGCTCCCGGGTGCGTCCTGGTGGTCAGTGCGCAGGGGGCCAGCTCCGCTGGAGGTGCCTCCACCTGCGGTGGCGCCTGCCTCCCGTGGGGCGGGCGGCTTGGGGCTGCGGTCTCGGGCGGGGCTGGGCTGGCGGGGGCTCCTCGGACCGGGCGGCGGCAATGGCGCAGTTGCTGGCGAGCCGATGCGCCTGTCCAGCTCCGCTTGGAGCGGAGGCGCCGTCGCGGGCGCCCGTGTTGTCGGCGTCCGTCTGGGCAGGGGAGGCGCCAGTCATGTTGTGGATGGACTGCTGTCGCCTCCGCCCCGTCCAAGGGTCGTGCCCGGCTGGCTGGGGAGCCTGCAGGTCGTGGATGTTCACCAGCTCGAGGCAGCCAAGCAGCAGCTCCCGGCTGTACCGATTGGGGTCACGTCCCTTCTGAGTGGCTTGCTGGTCGTGCATCTGCCTGCACTCGTCCCATAAGGCAGACATGCTGTGGTCACCTGAGGGTGGGCCGGAACCGCCTTGGCAGGACGGTGGCGCGGGCCCACGGCGGTCGAGGCGGCCAGGAACGTGGCCATCGTTGGCGACGACCTCTCGGGCCTGGCGGGCCCCGACGCTGGCGCGGGCGCCTCGCAGCTGGTGCAGCAGGCCGCGATGCTGGTCCTCGGTGAGCTGCTGTGGAGGTGGGCGCTGGGCCGTCAAGCTGGCGGCACTCATGGGCCAGGGCCGGCGGATGCGAGCCTCGCGTGAGACGTTCCGCCGCGGCTCCAGGCGGAGGAGGCGCTCGAGCGGCCAGTCGGCGCTGGACGACGTGCTGGCGGAGAGGTTGGGCTTAGGCGACCTGGTGGACGCGGCGGCGGCGGCGGCGGCGGCCACCGTCTTCGACGCCCAGCCCCACGCCGGCGCGCCGACCCGACTGCCACTTCGACGCTGTCCCTGGATGTGTGGAGGCGGGGGGGGGTGCGCGCAGGAGGAGGGGCGAGGGCGACATGATGGCCCTTGTGGTGGAGGACGACGCCGCGGTGGAGACGCTGGGCATCGTCGGTCCCTTGGACGCGGCGGCGGACAGGGCGCCCGCTGCCCAGCTCCACGCCTCGCTCGCCGCGTTGGCCATCGACGGTTTCGTGGCCGTCCTTGGAGGTGCGGCGGGGGAGGACGACTGGGGAGGGAGGGCGGGGACGTCATGAGGAACACGCGCGAGCTGCAAGCGGTGCAGGCCACGCACGGGGCCGAGGTCGAGGATGGATGGCACCGTGGATTCGCTTGCCGCCGGGCCGGGCGTGGAGTTCCCCAGGAGTGCCATGACGCGGAGGCCGGTGTGGCGGACCGTGCGCCGAGCGCTCTGACCGACGCCCAGCCCGACGGCCAGCTTCCCTTCGACGCCGAGGCGGCGCCTTCTGGGCATTGCACGGAGGGCGAGGGTGCCCCCGATGAGGCTGGCGCTGCACGTCGGCATGGCGGCACACCGCACGGCCAGGCACGGGTTGGCTTCACAGACGAGGACCGTCCCCGCCCGACATGCCGTCGACGAGCGGGCCGAGGGTCGCCGGCGAAATGGACTCTCGGGCCGCGATGCCGCTCGAGGAGGTCCAGCAGTGCGGAGACTGCACGCTCATGGGGGCAGTGCTGGGCACTGAGGTCGGGGGGTGCGGCTGCGGCGCGCCCAAGGCTCTGGCCAAAGGCGACCGTGCCAAGGTCGTCACCAGGGTCGTGCCGTTCGGCTTCGCGTGGCGCGAGGCCGTCGGACGTCGTTGAGTCGTTGAGTCGGCCGACCGCTCGGCCGTGGTAAAGTGGCATGATCCCCGCCCCAGCCGCGGCGTGGGCAGTTGCCACCGTGCCGACGGCGGACCCACCCTGCATCCGGCGCTGCTGCGACCTCGTCGTGCCGAGGGCGATCGGGGTGTCCCACGACGTCGAGGAGCTCGGGGAGCTTGGAGCCCCTGTGACCTCGCGGCGCCGACGGCACCGTCGGTGAGTGGTTCGCAGGCCTATCTTGGCCCGATCGTGCGGGGTCGAGCTTCGGCCGTGTCAGAGTGCGTATGCTGCACGGTGCCATGTTCGCTGCGCGCAGCGGCGCGCCTGTCGTGCGTGGGAGCTGGCTCGATGAATCACAGTGCGAATCGCGCGGTTCCTGGGCCGAAGCCCCTGGGGCCGCCTGTTGGACCCCCGTGATCCCATTCTGACGCCTGGGCCTGTGCGCCTTGGTTGGCCCTTCTGGGGTCTTTTGGAGTGGCGGCCGAAGTGCCGTGCTTGCCTTGGGAATGTTGTTAGAATGAGGGCCCCTGTGGTCTGGTTGTTTGGCTCCCGGGTCTAAGTGTTCCAGGTGCCCTCGAGGTGCCGATTCAATTTGCGGAGGGCAGTCAGTTAGCCTTCTGGGGCTAGCTGACCGCTCCTCTAAGGGGTCCAAGCACACAGACCCAAACACAAACCTATGCATACAGATATGCACACACACGCTAAGCCGCTAAGCGTGCCGCGCACACGGGACAGGAAGATGAGGAGGAGGCGGATGGGAGGAGGAGGGGAGACGAGGAGAGAGGCTGAAGGGGAGAGAGAGCAGAAGGTGATGATGGGGAGGGGAAGTGGGAAGTGCGATTGTGAAGGCGACGCCGAGAATGAGTGGACGGTGGACTGTAGCGACGAGGAGGAGCCCCTTGGCAACCCAGTCTGTGTAATGTCTCGGTCTGGCCTCGGGGAGGGCTGAGCCTGTTTTTTCCCGAGGAAAGGGGGCCCTGCTCAGCGTGCTTAGCCTGCCCTCCTCCACATTCTCCTCCTCCTCCTCCTCCCTCCTCCTCCTCCTCCTCCTCCTCCTCCTCCTCCTCCTCCTCCTCCACCTCCTCCTTGAGCCTCCCCTGCTCCACCGTCTCGCCCAACCTCCACAATGCGCTTACAACTTGGGACTTTGGTCCCGTCGCAGCCTATTCGTCTGAGCCTGCAAACGAGATCTCGTTGATGCGGTTGGTTCAGTGGATTGCGCTCGCCTTTAACTGCTGTTACGAAATGAAGCACGCCGCACCGACCCCAGCTTCGATAGCTGAAGTGTCGTGGGCCATCAAAGCATTGCTCTGGAAGTAGTCGCGCGGTAGTCGGACGGGAGCGGACAGTCTTTGCCCTCGTCTCGCTTCTTGCCCGCTTGCCCTCGTCTCTTCCTCTTTGGGTACTTGCACTCCTCCTCCTCCTCCTCCTCCTCCTCCTCCTCCTCCTTCTCCCTCTCCTCCTCCTCTCTCCCTCCTCCTCCTCCTTCTCCTCCTCCTCCTGCCTGCCCCCCTGCCTCCCCCTCCTGTGTGCTTGTCCTGGTCAGCTTGACATGGCTAGCGCACCTCGGCGTCTGATCCTGGATACGGCAGGTGTTCGCGGGGTGATCTGCGTGGCGAGAAATAACAAGTCCTTCTCCCCCTTCCCCTCTCCTTCGCCTCATATCGTATACCTCCCTTCTGCATCCTCCTCCTCCTCCTCCTCCTCCTTCATCCCTTCTACTGTATTTCGAGTCGCAGGGCACCGGGTGGTCAAAACGACAATCACGCAAGCGCCCGAACGCACTGTTTTATGCTGCTTCGAGTGTGGAGGGTGCCTCACAGGGACCAGCCCAGGGAAGGTCCTGCCGGGGCCGTGGCTGGGAGCGCGCGCTTGCCACGGAGCTGAGGACAAGCACTGGCGGGTGACCGAACGGGAATACCAGAACTATAGGGCCGACCGCAAAAATTCGGCGCTCGGGCTTCCACACGCGCCCTCGCGCGAAGACCGCGTTCGTCTCGCGGCGCTCCCGTGGGACCTCTGGGCAGGCCGGAATCCGAATCGTCGGCTGGGCCGCGGAGTCAGAGCCCGCCCGCGGCCACGGTGCCAGCGGGCGCAAGCTCCCGCGCCAACCGCCCACTCGAGACGACATTTTGTCTTGTTTCGGGCTTCGCAGGGAGGGCGAAGGCTGGGTTGCTGCGCTCGGGACGCGCCGGTGCGAGGAGGGGATTTCTCCGCCGTCTGATGCGGAATCCGTGTAGCCTGTTGAAGCATCATGTGTTTTCTGGCCGTGGGCGCCCCCCCCTCCAGGCGCATTCATATCCTCCTTCCTCCTGCTCATCCTCCTCATCCCTTGCTACCTCTTTCCCTCCACCGTCCTTCAGGGGCAACGATCGGGGGGGCTAGGCATAGGGGGGGATGCATCGACCCCCCAATCGCCCATTGATCGCCGATAGGGGTCTGATAGCCCCACCCCGCCCAGGAACGTGCGAATTTGCTATCAAGAGCGTATCGCCGATCTATCGGCGATGTATCGCCGATTCCAGGTCGATGTTTCCCCCTCTATGCCAGCCCCCCCCCCCCGCTATCTTTGCCCCTCAGTCCTCCTCTCTTCCTCACCTCCCTCCTCTCCTCCCCTTCCCTTCCCCCTCCTTCCCCTCCTCCCTCCTCGCTCCTCCCCTCCCTCTTCCTCTTCCCCCCAGTCCTCCTCTCTTCCTCACCCTCCTCTCCGCCTCCCTCCTCCTCGCTTCCTCCCCCAGTCCTCCTCCCTCCTCCCCCAGTCCTCCTCCCTTCCTCCCCCCGTCCTCCTCCCTCCTCCTCTTCCCCCTCCTCACCCTCTCTCTCCGCCTCCTCCCTCTCTACACGTGCTCCCCGCTGCAACCGCGGGCAGCGCCCTCGGGGCCTGCGCGCCGCCGGCAGGTCCTGGCGAGACCTCGACGAGAAGATTCGGGAGGAGAGGGCTCCGCGCGGCGAGGGCGCCGAGGAGGAGGAGGACGCAGAGGGCGAGGACAACGGAGGGTGAGGGAGGGGCGGGCAGAAGGACGACGAGGAGCAGGAGAGAAGGACAAAGGAGGAGGAGGAGGAGGAGAGAGAAGGAGAGGGGGGGCGAGTAGTGAGGGAGGGGTGGGGAGGAGGATCTGGGAGGACTGCGAGGATCAGGACAAGGACGAGGAGGAGGAGTGCGACAATCTCAGCATGTGCGCGGGGTGAAGCTCCCTGCGGGCCTGCGGCGAAGGCCAGGGCGAGAACTCCGGGAGGAGCGGAAAGAGGCACGAGAAGTAGCAGGCCGAGGAGGCAGACGCGGAGGGCTACCGAGGCGGAGGGGGGAGGCAGAGCCAAGGGGGGGGGGGGAAGACTACGAGGAGTAAGCTGAGGAGTAGGCCGAGGAGCAGGCTTGAGGAGGAAGGCGCGGAGGACTACCGAGGCGGAGGAGGGGGCAGAGCAAAGGGAAGAGGACGAGGCCCGGCCCGGCGCAGCCCCGCAGTCGAGCAGACCCATCCCCAGCAGTCCTGGCGAAAGGGTGGGAGGGGGAGGAGGAGGAGGAGGAGGAGGAGGAGGAGGAGGAGGAGGAGGAGGAGGAGGAGGAGGAGGAGGAGGAGGGAGGAGGAGGACGGAGGAGGAGGAGGGAGGAGGAGAAGGAGAAGTGCGCGCAACACCGAAACATTCCTTCCATCTGCCCCCTTCTCTTCAACCTCCTCCCAGCTTCATCCTCATCCCTGGCTCGTACGTTGTCTGATGTTTCACCCCTCTTCCCTATTCCCCCTCCTCCTCCTCCTCCTCCTCCTCCTCCTCCTTGGCCGTTTTGTGGTTTAGCCTTCTTGTTCTCAAACAAGAACGACAAGAAACATCTTGCAAGCACCCTGACAGGCCTCATCAACCTCTTTGTTCCTCTTTACTCCCTTCTCCCTTGCTGATCTTCCCTCCTCCTCGCCGTCCTCCGCTCCCATGGCCTGCAAAACGCCATAGAGCTGCCCTAAGTCGCCTCAATCGCTCGCGCGACAAGCGCCTCAACACGTTCCCTGCTCTCTCCTCCTCCCGTCTCATACTTCTCCTCGTCCTCCTACCCCTCTTCCTCCTCCTCCTCCTCATCCTCCTCCGCCTCCTCCCCGTAGCCATTTTGGCTCAAGCCGTTGGGTTTGACGCGGTTTTGAGCATGTGATGGCGGAAGAGGCCGACCATCCGCTCGAGACCTCGCGGCTGCGGTCGCACGAGGTGTGCGTCTCGCTCACCAGCAGCGCATACCTCGGGGTGCCTGTTGGCGGCGGCCAGTGCCACACAGCTGATGGCGGCGGCCCCACAGCTGCCGACAGTTGCATGGTCTACGGCGAACTGACCTGGAGCGGGATGGAGAGCCTCTGGAACGCATTGTGCCTTGCGCCTGACGATTCGCTCTACGACCTCGGCTCTGGCATCGGCAAATTTGTCATGTACAGTGCTCTTCGTAATGGCTGCGCATCCGTCACCGGCATTGAGGTGGGGCTCAAAAGGCACAGGTCAGCCGAGCAGGCGTGCGCCAACCTGAAGGAGCTGCTGAGCGCCGCGGAGCCGCGTGCGGACCACCTCTGCGCGAGCTTCAACGCCGTGCTGGGCGACATTCGGCTGCCTCTGTACCGCGACGCGACCGCCATCGTCTTCTGCAATCTCATGTTTGACGGCACCCTCAACAGCGCCGTGTTGCGGGAGGTGCTGCGCTGCCCTCGCGTCACCCAAATCGCCAGCATCGTGCAGCCGCACAACCCACGGCTCAAGCGGCGTAAGGCCGTGAGCTGCGGGTGTTCGTGGAGCACGGGCGGCGTCAGCTGGACGCTCTACTCTGTCGTGCCCGCGCACGAAGCAGGGCGCCGTCGCATGCAGCGCAGCGACGTGCGTTGCCCACCGTCGCCACCGCCACTGTGGGTGCGCCCGCGGACGGCGGCCCCGGCCGACAACTGGAATGGCCCTGCAGGCAGACGGTCCATCACCAGCAGTGGCGGCCCCGCTGTCGTGGCGTCGAAGCAGATCTTTCAGCGGCTGGCGACCACGCGGATAGGCAGCGTGCGCAGAAGCACGACCGCCACGGTCGCCGGACGGCTGGACCACTTGCCGCCGGCGTCGTTGAAGGAGGGACTACGTGGTTCACGGTTGGCTTTGCGGCTGGAGTCGGCGAGGCGGCTAGCTGCGAGTGCTCAAACATGAGTGGACCACGTGAGCGGCGGGTAACTGCAACTGATCCCCGCCGCCAGATCCTTTTAAGTATTGGCGTGAAGGCGCTACTACTGCTACTACGGACTTCGATGGCTTAGTTACTGTGGTTGGCATCCAGATGCATGAAAAAAAAAACTCCGCCTTCTCCTCCTCCCCCCTACTCCCTACTCTTTCACAACCCGCAGAATCAGTCCCCTGGACCGAAGCGCGTCCTGATTAGGATTCCAGGGCGGATCAGGCTCCGACGCTGAGGGCATCTCTCCGCGGGCCCAGACGTGGATGAGGAGGAGGTCCTGGTAAGTCTGAGTGCCGCCCCGATGCGACGAGAGTGAGACCAAGACATGCGACGGTCAATTCCATAGCCGTATTGGTTCCATCTAATCCGGCGGATCGCCATGAAGGAAAAGGACCCTGAGGGAAACGGGTTGCCCCGACTTCTTTTCTCCCAGATCCGTTCTCGGATATTTTACGATGTGTGCGTTCATGACAGTGTGCGGCCCAATAGGCCCCGATCTAGCCCAAGAGTTCCCGACCCTTCATTGCTGGGCCCGTTTTTGCTTGCCACTGGAGCCCGATCACGGCCCTTGTGGGCCGAAAACGAGGAACACGAGCGCCAGAGCTGACGAGGATGCAACTTCTGGGAGGTTAAATTCAGCACCGGCGCAGGCACATCCGTGACTGAAAGCAGGCGTGATCTGGCATGCTCACTGTCAATTACGGCTAGATTTCGTTTGGTCCGGCTTTCTCCAGGGGTTGAGTTGGGCGGAAAGTTCAATAATTCTTGATTGGCCTTGATCGCCAGTAACCGTTCGGACGAAGACCTCCCAGAAGTTGCCACCTGAGGTTGAAGAGATCACGTCGTCGGGCTTCAGAAATCCGATGCTTTCATTGTTGTGATGCGAGACGCCCCCAGAAGTCACGACCCTCTCCGCAGTGCTGGACTCTCATCCTGAGTCGCCCTCTGACGGTCCCAGGGCCTGGCGAGGGCCGTCTTGATTTTTCCAAGTCGTTGGATGCCTGGCTTTTCCTTCATGCTGGGTTCACCTGGGCCAGTGGCGGCCAGTGCACTGCCCGCCCCGCCTGGGCGAGGTGCCCATGGACGCTCCGCCCGGCGACGAGCGCGCGGCTTCGCCGTACTGCGGCAGGCGATGGTCCCGCTGCGACCCCGAGAGCGGCATCGACCGCTTGACGCTGCGGTTCGCGGACCCGCGGAAGGAGGACACTTTCGTCGAAGAAGAAGCAACGCTATAAACAAACTTTTGGCGCTCCGCTTGGATTTCTCGGATGCGCGCTTGGGCCCCCTGGCGGCGCCTCCGGCGCCGCCCCTGGCGCGTTCCGCGCGCCAGGCAGGGAGGTCCAGCGCGCCGTGAGAAAAAAGTCGGTGCGGGAGGCTCTCCTGAGAGGACCCTTGCCGGGCCTCGGGACCGTCCAGAAGTGGCTCGGGACGACAGGCCGGTCCCGGGGAGCAGTGTCGGGACTTCCTAGGGCGCCGCATTGAAAGAGCAGGACGGCGCCGTTCTGGGGTTGGGGCTCCTCGCCCTCGCTCCCGGGCCTCGGTCCTTGCTTTCGCTCGTGGCCCGTCGCTCCCTCCTGCGGCCGATGGTGTGCCGCTCGTCGTGCGTTGCAGCTCCGCCTGCCGCGCCCCTCTTCCGCCAAGGCTGGGGGGGTAAGGTCATCCGCCGCAGGTTGTTGCCATCGTCCTTGTGTTCGAGCCCAATGAGCAAGCCCTGAGCGCTCTTTTTGGTAGCGCGATATGGGTGTAAGCGTGGACTTTCGGCGGAAGTCCGCAACGACCTCTTGGCTCAGCGTTGGACCCCCCTCTGGCGGCGTATCCGGCGCCGCTCCTGGCGTGCTCCGCCGGGCTAGGAAGTCCAGCGAGCGATCCAAGAAATCCGCGCAGACCGTCGAATGCTTATGCTTACTCAGTTTGTTCATGCTTCTCTAGAGGAGGGCTTCGCGCGCACCCACAAGGTGCAGCTGTCCAAGGGCATGGACGTCGCAATGATCAGCCTGATCATCGTGGTCCTTCTGAGTCTGGCTGTCCATCGGTCATGGGACGACTCCCAGCACGAGGCGCAGGAAGCTTCGAATCTCAGCAGATGGCAGTCTCTGATACACTGTGTTATTCTCGTGTGGATGCTCCTTGCTTTCGGCTCTGGGAGACTGCTCGCCAAGCGCAATATTGTCAGCACCCTGGTAATGGAGGTCATTGTTGTGACTACAGTCGCACTCAATATGTTTTTGTTTTCGATCGTTCCGAAGCACTACATTGCGCGAGCGTTCGGCCATGACGACACGGAGGCCATATGGGACGTGGAACTGGGCGCCACCGATTGCAACCTAATACTGGTGATCGACCTGGCCACGACCTTTGTGCACCTCCTGATGCCCATTCGTTGGGTGGTCCTCGTCCCCTTGGAAGTGGCTGCTGTTCTGGCCTACATCGCCCCAGCGCTACTCCTCGGCAGCCCGGCCATGAACCAGGTCCCCTTTAATGTCATCGGCATCCTCTCCCTCGTGGTCATCTCGGCCATCGGGAAGCGGGCCGTCGAGCGGCAGGAGCGCCTCATGTTCGCTGGCCTCCTGTCGGAGAAGCAGCTACGGTTTCAGGCACCAGGGGCGACGTTAGGGGGGGGCAGGCTCAAGAAGGATGCCCCCAATCGCCTCGTCATCGCCGATAGGGGCCCGATAGTCCGCCCCGTCCAGGACCGCGTGAATCCGCTATCAGGGGCCTATCGCCGATCTGCTGGCAATGTATCTCTGGTTCCAGCTCGTCCACCCCCCGCCCCCAGTCGGTCACCCCCGAACGCTGGCCCTTCGAGGCGGAGTTCCAGCTGTCCAACAGCGCAGCGGCCGCGGCCAGCGGGCAGGAGTAGAGGAGCAGAAACCGGCATGAGCATAGCTTCTCGGAGCTCCGCGCGGACGTTCGATCGGCGCTGGAGCCCCCTCCCTGGCGCGCGGAGCGCGCTAGGCGTCCTCCAGCGCCGAGCCAAGATCTCCGCGCGGTGCTCCAAGAACTTATGCTCATCGCGTCGTTGTTGCTTTCCGAAGGAGGTCCAGCAGCGCTGTGGCTCCGAGCGGTCTTCCGCGCTGACCCGCCCGGAGACGACGCTGAGCGCGGCGGCCTTCGAGGGCGGCGCCGAGCACTCGTCGCTGGACCAGATCCGCGCGATCGGGGAGGGGGAGCAGTGGCTCATTGCCAGCGGGGAGGTGGGAAACAAAAGGCGTCAAAACACTAGACACACAAATAGCAACAGGGCACAAACCAATAGACAACTGGCCGGCGTGGAGGTGGAGCTCCTGACCGACATGGTCCTCGGCAGCGGCGGCTTCGGTGTTGTCGTGATGGGGCTGTACTACAACACCCTGGTGGCGGTGATCAGAGGAGGGCGAGTTGGGACAACGGCAGTTGGCCTTCGGGTGGACCCCTCGTTGTCACGGCTGGGCGCAGCTTGGAGAACTTGTGCGTTTGAACACCATGGGTGGTCTGGGGATTTGTTGTATAAGCTGCGTTTGTCTCAACTCGCCCTGCTCTGAGGTGAAGGCACCGAGGGACAACATCGCGCACAAGGGCGTCGGGGACTCGTCCCTGCCCGAGCTCTGCAACGAGCTGAGGATCCTTCGGCGCATCCGCCACCCCAACATCGCGTTTTTGTATGGTGCGTGCATGGACGCCACCCTGCGCAAGCTGTGCCTGGTGCTCGAGTTCGTGGACGGCGTGAGCCTTGGCGTGTTCATCCGCGGCCAAAGGTCCTCCGCCAGGCCGCGCCCTGCGGCCTCCCGAAGCGCGTCTGCGCGGTCCCTGCTCATCTTCGACATCCTGAGCGCGCTGCGATACCTGCACTCGAGGCAGCCCGTCGTGGTCCACGGTGACCTGAAAGAGTCGAACATCCTCGTGGAGGAGCGGCGCAGCAGGAACGGCAGGAGCTCCTACCGCGCCAAGCTCCTCGACTTCGGCCTCTCGCGGATACTCACCCGCCGCGCCAAGCCCCTCGGCGGCACCCTGCGGTGGATGGCGCCCGAGCTGCTCTCGCGCCAGACCATCCCCCCTGACGCCGACGCCGACTGCTACTCGTTTGGGCTGGTGACGTACTTCATCGTGACCAGCTGCCTGCCTTTCGAGGGCCAGCGCGCCGAGCAGGTGCTGAGGCAGCTGAGGCGCGGCCAGCCGCCCAGCCTGGCGTGGCCCGCGCTCGCCGACGAGCTCTCGCGGGCCTGCCGCTCGGTGGTGGAGCAGTGCACCCAGGCGGTGCCCGCGCTGCGCCCGCCAGCGCGGCAGGCGACCAGGGGAGTTCCGGCCCCACAGCGGCGGCCCGCCCTGGCATGTTTCGTCCTGTCTGGGCCTTCCTGGGGCCTCGTCGCCACCACGGCTGGATGCGCCCCCCAAAGATGGGTCAGCATAGACCCCGGGCGGGGTCCAGGGATAGATTCCGAGCGGTTGCATGGCCGGGCGGAGGAACCGACGCTGTCTCATGTTGCCCTCCTCCGAGGTGAGCGTCGAGCTCTCCGCGATGCTGAGCCCGTTCGTCGGCGGAGCAATGGCGGCGGCGGGAGAGGCCACCTGCGCTGGAAGGTCCGTAGAAGAGACTGCACAAGCTTTTTGTTGCGTCGGCGGCTAGGCAGAGTCACTGCGCTGGCGAAAGCGGCGTCGGTGGGAGGCACCGAACGCGAATTGGGTCACCATGCAGGAGGGGAGGGAGGAGGCGCCCGGCGGCGGCGGGAGGGAGGGAGAAGCTGGGCCCTCTCAGAGCAGGGCCAGGCGCGTGGCGGGGGCGGCGCCAGGGGGGAGACCAGCGGCGGCGGGCCGGCGGCTGGGGAGAGGGGGGGCGCCATAGACTGCACAAGCACAAGCATGCGGAGGGCCTTGCGAAAATTTATTGGATCGGCGCTGGCCCCCCCGCCGGTCGCGAGGAGCCCGCCAGGGGCGGCGCTGGAGGCGCCGCCCGGTGGGTTCTGGCGCAGACCCAAGAGATCTCCGCAACAAGGACCTCCCCAAGTGCATGCGAAAGCTGTTTTTGGCTCCTCTAGAGGTCCGGCGCCGGAGGCACGAGCCCGCCTCCCAGCACCAGCGGGGGGCCCCCCCCCTCGGACGCCTCGGCCAAGAGGGCCCTGCAGCAGCTCGAGGGCGTGGTGGAGGCGCGGCAGGCCAGGGGCGCCATGGACGGCAGCTCGCTCACGTCCGACACTAGCCCCGGGAGCCTGCCCCCCGTGAGGGAGGACGCGGTGATGCTGTCGGGAGAGCGCGCGGGCGCGCAGGTGCAGGTGGCCTTCCAAGAGATGCAGGTGGCCTTCCAGGAGTACAGGCCGACTCCGCTGAGCACGCAGACCCTCAGCCTGGCGCTCCTGATGTCGCAGTGGAACGGGCCGATGCCGAAGGGCGCCTGCTGCTGGCTGCACGGTGCCCTGCGCGCGCTGGACAGGGTGAGGGACGCCGCGGGAGAAGAAGGGGCGCTGGGCTGAGGAAGCCGCCCCTGTTCGCCCCCACCAACGGCTGACCCCGACGCCCCAGCTGCGTTGAACCTTGCGCGCGGCACTCGAGGTCGCGCGCAGGTTCGCACCGCTCGGGCAAGACGGGCGCAGGATATCATGGCCAGGGGGGGTCGGGGCCAGCCTCTGGGGTGGGCACCAGGGGCGCTTCCTCCAGCGCAGTGTTTGTGGCCGTCGCTTCTCCGCTCCCGAGGACGAGATAGGCCAGGGGCCGTGCGCTCGGCAGCGGGAACCGAACATCTGCGCCCAATGCGGCGACTGCGGGCTGCTGGTGGTGAACGGCAGGTCGTCCTGCGACTTCTGCGTCTGCCCAGACTCCTCGGGCGTCGTGGCAGGCGCCTCTGGCTTTGATCACGCGCTTGCTGTCTGAGCCAGCCTCGCCGAGCGGTTATATGGAAGATCGAAAGTGGCATTTGAACAGGACTAGCTGTCGGTCTCGTCGCGGCCGTGCTCCGTTCCAGGCGAAGTGTATCCTGCCCAACTGTGGTCGCTGTCGGCTCTGCGCTGCCCGCCAGGGTAGGAACGAGGAGCACCATGATCAGTCCACGGGTGGAATTGCTCTGAGCATTGATCGCACGCAGTCCTTGTTAGAAGCATGATGTGCTCAGTCGATGCGCAGGTGCTGTGCCTCATGGCACCACTGCTGGCTCCCACCGTACAGTCTGGATTCCTGGCGGTGGTGACTCGCCCCAGGGCTTCTGGTCGCCCCAGCCTGCTGCGAGCACACCCCCCCCCCCCGCCATGACTCTGTTGGTCCCGGAAGCGACCTCCTCCTCGGCCTGCCCAAGTCTGCACTCTGCGCTTCCCTCGGGAAGTCTGCACTCTGCGCTTCCCCCGGTCTCGCTCCGGCTCCCGCGCTGCTTTTCAGTGCCGCTGTCGTCGACAGAGGGCTCCAGCAGCCGCAGGAGAGCGTTTTTTTTAGTCGGCCCCCAAGACGCAGACAACTGCTCAGAAGGCGCGAGGACTTCTGAGAAGCCCCGCCGCCTTCTGAGAGGGCCTTCTCCTATAATCTCCCCCCTCGCTCGCCGCTGATCATTACCAATATGCTCATCACCAACATCATCATCATCAGCATCAGCATCATCAGCATCATCATCATCAGCATCATCATCATCATCGTCGTCGTCGTCATCATCAGCATCAGCATCAGCATCAGCATCGTCGTCATCATCATATTCAGCACCATCTTCAGCAGTATGATCATCATCACCATCACCATCACCATCACCATCACCATCATCACAATAATGATCATCATCGTCATCGTCATAGTCATAGTCATCCTCATTGTCATCATCGTCGTCATCCTCATCATCGTCTGCATCATCAGCATCAGCACCATCATCGTCACAGTGTCGCCACCATCAACAAAAACACACGTTACCGCTGTTAAGTATCCAGCTGCAGATGCTCCAACGTGCCGAAACAACTGTGTGTGGCGACCTTGCGTTGACCTCCGCCCCCAGGGACGTCAAGTGCGATACCTCTTCTTTCGACTTCCCGAGGATCCCTCGTGGGGCCCACGGTCGGACCGAGGTATCAGAGCGAAGTCGGCGTGCTGCGGCTGTCGACGGGCACCTGTTGGGCAGTCTTCCGGGTCCCTTGGGTCCTATGTGGGCGGCCGTGGGCGCCTAGTGAGCGCCTAGTGGGCGCTTTGAGGGCGCCTTGCGCTGCTCTTGCACGATGCTGCTTGCGGCACGGAGCGCTCTCCACTTGATTTGCACTTCGAAGCTTGCACCGCACAGCTCACCACAGGGGTGTCATCGTGTAGCTCACACCACACAGCTTACGCGGGAGCCTATGTATCGTGCCCCCCATTGCGTTTGAGGTGGGGTGAGCGGGCACTGCGAAGCAAAACGCTTGCACCACACATAACGTGCATCGCATTTCTCTCACCACACCGCTTACACCACATGTCCGCAGTCAGACAATGGACTGGGCATGTGTAGAAAATGTGGCGCAACGCGTGTCGTGCAAGCAGTCTCGTGCAGCATGTGTGGCGCATTCGATGTAGGTGCGAAATTTGTGGTGCAAGATATTCAGCCGAAGCGACCTGCAGTGCATTTCGTACAGGCGCAAGCCACCCGGTCGAAGCTATATTGTATAGGCTACGTGTTGTAACCAAAGCGGCTCCCTTAACCATATCAGTAGAGAGTTGATAACTCCAGCGCTCGCGGAAACATTCCACCCTCCCACCCGCGACATGGTTTGCCAAACCCATGCGGCCGCGATTGCAGTGGCTGCTCTTGGCTCAAGCCCGGCTCAAGCTGGCTCAAGGGGCCCGAGAGGGGGCCCAACGTGAGCCTGGCGCGTGCGCGCGGGGCACGTGGTCTCACGTGTCCACGTTCCCCCGGAGAGACCCGGCTTCCATCGCCCTGCGGCAGCCAGCCATGGGCGTGGAGGAGGTCGCCGCCCTGGTGGTGGACAGCGGCAGCGGCTTGTGCAAGGCCAGCTTCTCGGGCGACGACGCCTCGCGCGCGGTGTTCCCCTCGATCGTCGGGCGCCCCAAGATGCCGGGCATCCTGGTCGGGATGGACCAGAAAGACAGCGACGTGGTCGGCGAGGCGCAGAGCAAGCGCGGCGTGCTGTCGTTGAAATACCCCGTCGAGCACGGCATCGTGGCGAATTTGGACGACATGGAAAACATGTGGCACCACACGTTCTACAACGAGCTCCGCGCGGCCCCGGATGGGCATCCCGTGCTCATCGCCGAGGCGGCCCTGAACCTCAAGGCGAATCGCGTGCGTATGACCCAGATCATGTTCGAGGCTTTCAACGTGCCCGTAAAGTACGTGGCCATCCAGGCAGTGCGCTCGCTGTGCCCCCCCCAGCCGCGCCACTGACATCGTGATGGATTATGGCGAAAATGTGTCGCACGCGGTGCCCATCTACGAGGGCGACGCCTTGACGCACGCCATCTTGCGCCTCGACCTGGCCGGACGCGACCTCACGGAGTACCTGATGAAGATCCTTGATGTGCGCGGCTATTCTTTCACGACCAAAGCTGGGCGCGAGATCGTGCGCGACGTCACGGAGAAGCTCTGCTACGTTGCCCTCGATGTCGACGCGGAGATGAAGTTTGCCACGGAGGTTTCGGACAAGGAGAAGGCGTGCAAGCTTCGTGACGGCAACGTAATCTCCGTGGGCAGCGAGCGTTTGCGCTGACCCGAGGTGCTATTCCAGCCCAGTTTCGTCGGCAAGGAAGCCAGCGGCATCCACGACACCACCTGCCAGTCCATCATGCAGTGCGACGTCGACCTCCGCAAGGACCTCTACGCCAACATGGTGGTGTCCGGCGGCGCCGCCATGTTCCCAGGGATCGCGGAGCGCATGGTCAAGAAGCTGCATGCCCTGGCGCCATGGACGATGAAGATCAAGGTCGCGGCCGCGCCCGAGCGCAAGTATGCCGCGTGGATCGGCGGGTCCATGTTCTCTTCGCTGAGCACCTTCCCAGAGGTTGCCAGAAGCTAAAAAACAGCTCCAGATAGCGAAAAGCTATTCTTCAAGTTGTGAGCTATTTTTGAGATCAAACGCTATTTTTGAGAATCATAGCTATTTTTCAAGACGGAAGCTATTTTCATTGAGAGCTATTTCCTTCCATTAAGGATATATATATATATATATACGCATGTATAATATAATACATAATGATATAAAAAAACATATATACATACATGCATATATATTTACATATGTGTTTATATGTGTACGATCATACATACATACATACATACATACATACATACATACATACATACATACATATATATGTGGAACACGTGTTTTTCGTAACCAAACACATGTATGTGCGTGTTCACGTATGCGTTGTAGCGTGTGTGGTGCCATTGATAATTTTGATTACCAGAACGGAAGCGGATCTATCGTACGTGTGTTGCCTTCTTGGAAACATCTTGCGGCCATCTAGATTTGGTTACATCAGTGCATGCGCGTTGTAGCGGGAGTTGGTTGCATGTTTGTTGGTGTTGATGATGTCGTTGTTGGTGTTGTTGATGGTGTTGCCGTTGTTGCTGTTGTTGCTGCTGCTGCTGTTGTCGGTGGTGTGATTGTCGTTGTTGGTGTTGGTGGTGTTGTTGGTGTTGTTGTTGTTGTAAGTGCAGCTGGTGTACTGTAATTGTTGTTGTTGTTGTTGGTGTTGTTGTTGTTGTTGTTGTTTTGGTGGTCACACTAGTGTTATCTTGTGGTTCCCTTGGTGTTCGATTGTTGTTCCCTTGTTGATGTTGCACCGCCACATTGGAAGCACTCTTGGGCCATCGTGGCATTGGCGTTCCCAATGCCTATGTCACCTCTGGGGCTGCAAGTCGGATTAATTATTGTTGTTTTAGTTCGTGTCCCAGTCAGATAGTGCAAGTCTGCGGCAGCAACAGCGAGCGCCGTCGGCGATCAAGCCACGTGGGGTCAGCCACAAAAACGCCACGTGGGTCTGCCCTCGCGCCACGCGGGGTCTGTCCTAAAACACGTTGCCTTATCGGGCCTTGCCAGCCCATCGCTGGAGGGCGAGATTTCAAAATCTTGCATTGCAGCACATATGATTAAATCTCATGTTTTTTGCTTACCATTATCATCATCATTGTCTGCTCCAGTTGTTCGTCTTTTCTCCTACCATCCACCATTGCCTCCGAAACCTTTCATGCTCATGCGTTTCAACTGCCAGCTTTTCAAATCTCGCCCTCCGTGGACGCCGCGCAGAGAGTGCACGTGATAGCCTAAATGCGCAAACCCTTCCCTAGTGACACACCCTCTGGGCCACGTGGGCCCCTGGATGCCGCCACCACGGCGATGCCGTGCCGCCCAACCCTGAGCATCAAGAAGGGTGAGTGATGCAAGCACACCGCCGCAAGAGTTTCTTCCCCTCCCCATCCATCCTTGGAGCGTTCGCGAACGAACTAATGGACTGGAGGGGAGGGAGTGGGTGGCGGCTGTGCGCGCTTGCGTCGCCCAGCCTGCTTGATGCTCTCTCTGATGGCCGTGTCGACCCTCGACCCCAACCATTTCCATGTTCGGCACGTGTTCGCGAATTTGCACACCCACATCGTCCATGTGTTAGCCCCAAGGGGGGAGTGGTTCGTCGTTCGTCGCACCCCTCTCGCGCGTGTCTATATTCCTCATCAATCCTCCAATGCACACCCATCCACCCGACACCGGACGGCCTCGTGCACCCCCTGGGGGACGGTTTGATGGGTGGCGGTGCATTGTAGTGGGGGGGCGTCTTCAGAACCGAATATGGCTACTTCGCTTCGGAAGACGCACGCGGGAGATCGGGGAGCATGTTACGAGCGGGTGGCTGGGCGATGAGGAGGAGGAGGAGGAGGAGGAGGAGGAGGAAGAGGAGGAGGAGGAGGAGGAGGGGATTAGGAAAAGGAGGAGGAAGAGGAGGAGGAGGAGGAGGAGGAGGATGAGGGGGAGGATGGAGGGATGATGATTTGAAGGTGGATGTGGAAACGGAGGAATATGATTGCTTAGCACCGCTACGTATGCGAAGTGCATGCGTGTTGAAGGCAATAGCGCCTTCAACTCGCAAGTTGCTAGTTGACGGCAGTCGGTTGCCTCAGACTGTGTGTAAATTACTTAAATGCAATGCAAGACGTTGCAAATCCACCGCAAATCCACTGCAAATCCACTGCAAATCCACCGCAAATCCACTGCAAATCCACTGCAAATCCATCGCAAATCCACCGCGCCATTGGCGACACACCCCTCACATGCCATTCAGAACGGGTCGCCAGTTAGAAGCCATCGCAAACTACATCGCCCATCCCTTCCGCATCGGTCACGTGCATGCTGTGCATAGGCAGACACACATGGGCGCCCGTACAATCACATCATGACCAGTTATTTCAAACGCTTGGGAACCACGTGCGAGCGATGCGAAGCTTGCCACCACGGCCGAACGTAGATTGCCCACGCCCGAAACACAGTACTAGCAATCGTCAGGATACGTCGCACGTGTGTCTAAGCACGAGAGCAAACAGTACAATGGCTGATGATGTGCGCTCCGCGCGCATCAGTCACAGAAATCAGAGAAAGGTGGGGTGGCGTTGAACGATGCAATCACTACATTGACGACTTGCTCACAGAATAACCGTGGATACGCCTGCGACAACTTAAGCATCGCGTGATTGCCGTTTGTCTGGCCACGCTCAGACACACGTGTCAGAATGCATGAACTGCTTGCGTTGAGCGCCACATTCGCATGCTGCTGCGTGAAAGAAAAATGTTCAGCAGCAATGCGCATCGGGTGCGTGGTGTACACCTCGAGCGGCTTTGCACTCGAGCCACCAAATGCACCCAAAGCTGGAGTCGTCCGTGACGCATCCAGCATCCACAGCGTCAGCTTCATGACTGGGTGTTTGAACATCAGAGATCGAAGTGGCTGTTCTATAGCAACGTAAACATACTGGCAACCGCAGAAAGTCATGAGCCATGTCGTGACGATCACTGTTGCATTCGCATCATTGAGGGATTCATTTTTCGTGTCGGTCCGGGCAGTGCCAAGAATGTTGTCACCTGCGTCACGCTGGTATGTGTTACGTGACAGATAGGACAGCCACGTTCTGCATTCGGGGCTCATCCAAACTGTACCGCCCCGCTTGACGCGACGTGACATATCCACAAGCATGATAAGACCTCCCAGCGACAGCAGATTCATGCACGGGTTGTCACATACATCAAAACTTGCAGCTCGCAGACCACGCATCTCGGCAGCGAATTTGATGCCAGCCTCGCCTCCGCACACCAACGCGACATCGAAGATGCGGTCGGCGTGTGGCCATGCCCATACGTCTTGTGCCACGGCACACACCATCTGTTGGATCGGCAGTGCACGTGGCGTGAACAATATGTCAGCAGTCATCCCAATCGCCGTGAGAAGGTGAACTCCCCGTGACACTGCCCATCCGATACACATATCCATGCACATGTCGCTGTCAGTCTATATCGATGATCCCACTGAAAAAGTACGACTGCGGATCGACAGCTGCGATCAAATGAAACGACCGAAATAGCCTCTCCTCAAATTTTGCTTGATGACAATGCTCTGCCACCGACCTGAGCGTGTGGTTGAGAGACTCGTCTAGGAAACACTGGTAGGCAGTAGGATTCCCGCGGCGCGCAATCCTTCAACAGGTGAGCCAAAAGACCACGAGGTGCACAACGAAACGCCTCCAAACAATCTCCGAGAGCCTCCGAACAAGTCTCCCGAAAGTAAGGGCACCGCGCACATATCCCCGACGACTGTCCCCAGACACCTCCCAATCATATGCTACATAAAGCATGCGTCCGCATGTGTGGCGGCGTTTAGGCTTCCAGTTGCGGTTTTTTTTTTTTTTTTTTGGGGGGGGGCTTCGCGGGTTCCTGGGGAGGGTGCGCGTGCACGTTGATGGAGAGCGAGAATTGTGGGAGGAGATCGGCGGGAGGGAGCGTGAAGAGTGGGGTGGTGCCCCCCTCCAACCCCCCGACGATCGAACTGATAAGATTATATCCCATCTCCTGTCGGCTAGATGTAGTGCAAAGTGGTGCTTCGGCACGAAATGAATCAATGCTGCCTCAGCTCGCGAGAGGTGCGTCATCATGAGATCGAACAGTTCGGACTGCTTAGCTCTGGGGACAACAAGAGGTTGCACCTTCATCGTGCTGATGAACTTCAAAATCGCTCTCCCCGATGCCACGAGGTCGGCCCACATCGGAAGTCCAGCACCGTTCTTCTCAAGACAATGCAGAGCAAACAAGGACATGATATACGTTTCGTGGGCCTTGAGTCTCATGGTGCACCCTGGGTGTGGACTTGACGGGTCCACATTGTCGAGGTCTCCTAACATTCCCAATGTGAAATCGTTGAATCTGTTTTCATGTGAGATTCTGGATGCTGGATCCGCCTGCCACTCCATGAGTAGCGCCCGTAGCCGTCGAGCTGAAAGTTCAAACCTATGCTTCTTATCTCCTGGATGGTTCGCGGCGCCATGGCACGTGAGTCTCCAGAGGGTTGCCGCGCACCAACGCTGCAGGGGGCCATAGTAAAGTGAATGCAGAGCGTCGACCGCTAAACTCAACATCGGGTTGACACCGAGGGCGCGCGTGAACAGCGGGTTTCTGTGCCTGGCGACGCCAAGACCAGGTCGCCAGAAAACCAAATCGATCGGCACGCTCGATCGATCTAAATCGCCGATATCACGTAGTCCATGCGATGGTTGCAGCACGTCACCCTTGCGTAAACCAAACTGTGCCAATTCGTCTGTGACTGTGCGACCGTGACTATCCTTGCCTTTTAGGTAGCGGAGCTTTGATAACAGGGCATGTTTATCACCAGCCGTGGCGATGTGCACGCGGTGCTCACATCCATTGCAAAACCGTTCATATTCTTCATCATCGACGCAGCCCCATGGGTCCTGTCCTAGTTGAGCGTCCTAGGGCAGTCGGCACACATGACAATCTACGATGGACGACGGAAAACCACA